AGAGAGAAGAGAGGCTAGAGGAGAGAGAGAGAGAGTAGAGAGGTGACGGAGAGGGAGAGGGAGAGAGGTTCAGAAGAATTGCATGGAGAGGGAATGGTTTTAACGGTCCTTTGAGGCCATTTCTTTTGTGTGAGAGAAAGAGGGATAGGTTGTATAAGGACCATTGTTAGAGAGACATATAAAGAGGGACTGGTTGTACGAGGACCATTGTTTGGGGACTGAGGTCATTATGGGATGAGAGTAAGGAAGTTAGTCGGTGAGTAAAATTTAAATTTGAACTCGAGATTAGAATCGAATTATTTTATACTGGAAGGAAAAAAATGAGACATAATAAGTAGGCAATACTTAAAAGGGCAAGGGGTAGGTCTAAAATGACATGTTTGGAAGTAGTGAGAAAAGATATTGGGACTTATGGCAGTAAAGGGTAGGCCCAAAAGGACATCTTTAGAAGTAGAGAGAAAGATATTGGGACTTGTGGCCTCACCAAAGGTATGACCATTGAGCAAAATGGCGGATTGGGATTCGTGTAGACCCCAAATAGTTGGGCAAAGGATTTGATCGTGATGATGATGATAAATAGACAAGACCCCTTATCTTTATAAGCCCAAGCAATATTGGAGATTATAACAATATAAAAACAAAAAAAAAAATTGTTAGAGAGATCCAGGAGTTGTATTTTAAATTTTATTTTGACTATAAAATGAATTTAATGGATAATAAATACTTAGATATGAGACAACTTTTCAGCATTTACATATTTTTTATAAAATAATGAAAAACCACAATGAAAATACCACTATTTTTTAGAAGCCTAAAGACTTAAATTTTAAAGATATTTTAGTGATCTTTTGTAATTTTTTTTCAGGCCAAAACTGGATGATCCGGCTAATTCTCTGTTCTGGGTCGCCGTTCCGACCCGATGTTTGAGGTGGTGAATCCGCATCACTTATCCAATTTTAAAGCCATACTTTCTCTTTAACTAAAAAGCTTAGCCAATTAAGTGGAGTAGGCTGTTGGTTTGGATAGCCGACACCAAACAGTTGGAGAAAAGGCTCTGATGATGATGAGGCGGTTTTAAAAAGAACTTTCAATATTGGGCTCCCTTACTTCTTGGGAACTTGATACACATGCTCCATGCTGCTATGAGGGTATCCTATTCTCTCTAGCACATGTTATTGAGGCCCATCGAGAAAACTAAACTCAATGTAAATGATTCTCATTTCCTTCTCGTTTAAATATCCTGTCAACACCCTCTCTCTCCCTCTCTAGCACAACATGCCCTCCAAGTTCTCAGCGTCTCTGTCTTTAGAGGCCTCCAAAGGGGTGGAGAAACTCATGAGCAATGGCACCAACTCTCTATCTCTCACCCCCAATTTCATTGTGCCTCCTGATATGAGGCCACAACTCTCAGAGGTCTCCACTTGTGAAACCATCCCTCTTATCGATCTTAGTCTTCTTCATGCCCATGACAATACAACAGGACGAGCTGAAATTATCAGGCAGATTTCTACAGCTTCTCAAGATTATGGATTCTTTCAGGTCCTCTCTCTCTCTCTCTCTCTCTCTCTTCTCTC